TTCTACCACTTCTTTCTCTTTTACTCCGACGAAGGACTAGCGTCCGAAACGTCAGTAAGTTTTTTCATCTTTTCACGGTGTATAATTTACCTTTTCATCGCTCTGGGTACGAGATTGGCACGGTGGTTGCTAGAGAAATGTTCTGCTCATGCGCAGTGCGATTTGTTTTCATTTCTATGCAAAGGGCAACTAGTTTAGACCCCTTGCATGTGACGTCAAACAGCTCCATCTGGGGGACAAAACAAAAGAATTCTAGTCTCCTTATAATTAGAACTATTGTTTTGTCCCCCAGATTGAGCTGCATTCCAAAGTGCCACAAGGGGTCTATAGGAAATCGCACGATCTCGAGTACAATTTGAAATTTATAGGTAAAAGTGATATTTTAATCCAATTTCAGAACTTTCGAAACATCACGAGTATCTATAAATTCAAAATTGTACGAGAATGTTGTGCGATTTTTTGTTGATAATACACTCAACAAAATTGAGCAGCTTATTAAATCGGGACAATTGAGTACAATTTTGAATGAGAATCTAGGAGCGGAATAAGATACAGTCTTTTTTAAAGGGTCTTGGATTATCATGTACTCTAGGGAATCGTTAGCATGCGTTTCTTTGTTAACTGAGGCCCCGTCCACACGTATCCGGAAATTTTTCTATCCGCAATTTTGTTTTCTTTTTCGGATACGAAAATGTTCGTGTCCACACGCAGCGTATTCCTTGATCCGCCTGATCCGYCCTGATGCATGCTAGTGCCTAGTCCCTTTGACGGATAGTTTTTCTTTTTGAGCATGCGCAAAATCATGTTTTCATCAGCGTTTTCGAAAATTTGCGGATACGACCGTCCACACGTATCCGTATTCGAAAATGTCCACTCTGGAGACCGTTTTCGAAAATTTCCGGATGCGGATACACACATTTCAGGACACGTCTGGACGGGGCCTGAATACAATGAGCCATTCCATCAATTCCATATTACCGTTTGCACAGCTATGGATGCTAATGAGAAATCTTTTGTTAAATGGCACCAACATTGCCGCGATGACGTAAAGTGAATCAAAGAATTAGCTACCCTACTGCGCTTTCGCTTGCCTTTTACCAAGATTTTAACTTTCCGTGCGAGTCCGGCCGAATATATATAATGCATCAATTTCAGCTCATCCTCGCAGTATATGAAGCAATTTATTACAATTATGCAAATTGAAAGACTCGGAAATAAGTATTGAACGCTGAAGGAGATATACATATGTGTGTGTATGAGAATATATATGATATGTGTGTGTATATATATATATGTACTGCGTTTGTAATGCAGCTTGTCAAATTGTCAATTTCAGCCGATCCTCGCAATATATGAAGCAACTTATCTAGCTATACAGTGCAAGAATAGCGATTTGAGCATAGCAACCCTAGCACATGTTGGGGCTAAAACCCTAGCACATTTTAGGGTTAGAAACCCTAGCACAATTTGAGGTTAACATACCTAGCACATGTACATGTTGGGGATAAAAAGCCTAGAACATGTTGGGTTTAAAACCCTAGCATATTTTAGGGATAGAAACCTTAGCACTATTGGGTATAAAAAGCCTAACACATGTTGGGGCTAGAAACCCTAGCACAAGTTGGGGTTATAACCCTAGCACATTTTGGGGTTACAAACCATAGCACATATTTGGGATAGAAACCCTAGCATATTTTGGGGATGGAAACCCTCGCATATGTGTTGGTAATAGAAAACCTAGCACATGTTGGGGATAGAAACCCTAACACGGTTTTAGGTTAACAACCCCAGCACATTTTGAGTATAGAAAGCCTAGGCACATGTTGGGGCTAGAAACCCTAGCACATTTTTGGGATAGAAACCCTAGGACATGTTTGGGACAGAAACCTAGCACAATGTTGTGGGTTAAATACACACATAAACAGATACACACATAACAGATACACACATAACAGATACACACATGTATGTACATACACACATACCATACACACACATACACAATTATTTACATTCACATTTATTCGTACGGGAGTGAAGAATGTGCGTAAATATTCACTGAACCGAGACTCCCGTACGAATAACAATCGCGAATTATTCGTACGGGAATGATGAATGTTGGTAAATATTCGCTGAGCCGAGACTCCCATACGAATAACAATCGCAAAATATTTGTACGCGAGTGAAGAATGTTAGTAAATAATCGCTGAACAGACTCCTGTACAAATAACAATCGAGAATTATTCGTACGGGAGTGCAGGATGTGTATGTGTGAATGAAAATACACACTTCACACATACACACATACACATATTAATTAAATACACACATACACACATACCATATAAAAGCTATTCCCAGTGTACTCGTCTCACAACTCTAAGAGATGAGAGCAAATGAGCATTACCATATCATCGATCCTGCGGAATAGGAGGTATACTATGGCTCAAGAAGGTGAARTTCAAGTCCCTCGTGAAGAAAACCTACGAGATGCTCAAGCAGCGGCGGCAGGAATCGTTCCTGTTGTCCATGCCCAAGAACTCTAGTTTTTAGTGTTCCATGCTTTTACGACTCGGCGTTGCCTTGTAACGTATAGCTTACCGGCGTTTGCATTGCTACGCGGGCACCCCAGACAAAAATCGCGACGTGCACTTTGCAATAGACTGCCGTCAAATCAAACAAGTGACGTCATTTACACGCGTTTGGATCGGCCCCGGATAGGCCCGGTGAGTGTGGCTCATAATACTTGTAAACAATCGACAAGTTTTGGCGCCTTTTGAATCACACACGCGTGAAATGGCGTCAACGTGTTTGATTGACGGCAGTCTATTGCAAAGTGCACGTCGCGATTTTTGTCTGGGGTGGCCGCGTAGTAATGCAAACGCCGTTAAAAGCTTGGCACGCAAACTCTGTGTATCATTCAAACTAATTCAGAGCGAATTTTGGACAATTTTATTCTCGCTCCCTTCGCAAAACTATTACGTCAATTTAACTGGATTTTTCATATAATRWGCTTGGATTATCCTAGATTCTAACAGTGTATTTTATTTTAAGATTTTTTAAAYGTTTAGCCTATTACGGCCAAAAATCAAACAGTGCTATTTTTAGTTTTTGGCTTTTTTCTCCTGATCCTCAGGTACGATTTTTCTGAAATTTTCAGAATCTTATCATCTAGTACTAGCAGGCTATGTATAAATTTGGATTGAAAGTCTTGGTCAGAAAAAAAGTTATGACGACGACGCTTGAAAATTCAATCCAAAATTTGAAGCATATAAGACATCGCGCTGTAGAAACATTAACCTTGACTGGATTGCCTTGATGTTTTCACATATCTATTTCCAAGTATTGCGGATGAGCCTTACGAAAAATCAGCATCAAATCTTAAAAATTCATGGTCCTCCGTGGCAGAATGGTCTTCTGACGTTTCCACCAATAGGAAATACGCTTTTATCTACCAATGATGCTCTGTGGTGAAAGTGTCCTATGCAAAATGTTTCCTTGGGGGAAGATACAAGTTCGGCAGTGTCAGATCCACGTCTGATTTAATAGTTATAAGTGCGAGCATGGCGAGTGTGGGTTAAGGATTATTGAGTAGCTACTTAGCCTTTCAAGTTATGATCAGTTTCTTTTAACACAATTTGGAAATTGGTCTAAGGTTGGTATTTCTATTTCTTGTTTGTGTTGTTAATTGTTCATTATTATTGGAAAAATCAGTCCTTGATCCATAAGCTTCCTTATGTTTATACAAGGTAGTTCATACGCCAAGTCACTTCACTCGAATTTTTTTCCTGAAAATTCTTACTCAATACTAAAGCTTATTTTAGTTAAAAATACGTACGAGTTTTTAATACGTATAATTTTAGCTTCGATTCGTTGAAATGTGCTCGGCGATTGAAGTGGATTCTGATTTCAAGGTTTAATACTGTGCCGATGCCAAAAAGACGATTGTAGCCTTGATGTATAACTTTCGACGTTCAAATTTCGCGATGGCTGTATCAGGTTGTCTTGAATATTAAAAAATATTGGTATTATGTAGTGTTTAAAAAAGGAGTAGTAGTGTTTTATCAGGTATAAAAGCAAGAGGCGTAGCGGAGTGCTTTTATACCTGATAAAACACGATCTACGAGTTTTTTGAACTTGAACACTTGAATACTAATGAAGAGGACTTTATCGGGTATAAAGGTCCATGCATGTGACTTGTATGGTGGCTCCAGTTGGACCATAAGCTTATGAATTATTAATGAGTGTTTTAATAAATTAATAATCTGTTCATGATTTGTTATTAAGGATAATCCCGAAACTAAGAATCATGTGCTGAATTATTGGTTATTCTAAGCTTCGCGCGCCTGTCTTTCAGGACTTAGCTTATACTTACATCGTGATCATCTAAGATTACTAACATTTTTGCTCTTTTTTTAGGGATATCCTTACCCATTTGTTTTAGTATACTGACAATGGATGGCCAAGAAAATGTAAGTATCTTTGTTTTATATGTATCAAGGTGGGAACCAAAGTAATTCAGAGCGAATTTTTGACTATTATAATAATTTTCCGCTCGCTTCGCAAAATTATCATATCATAATGTGCTTGGATTATCCTATATTATAACAGTGTATTTTATATATTCATCATTAGTGTATTATTTTATTTGATTCTTTTTCATGTTTAGCCTATTACGGCCAATTGATTATGCTGTGATATATACAGAAAATGAATAGAAAAATTCACCAATGAGCATTTATTTTTTGCCGCYATATCTCTGTTTTGTAAGTCTTATCAGAAGAATTTATTTTAAAGATTTGCTGTTGGAACATTTACAAAAACATCATCTATCAACACTTTTTTCCTTCCTGCAAAAAATTGTCTAAGCTCTAAATGGATATTTATTGGATGGATGGCTTCTTTTGATCTGTAGACTAGTGGTGGTTTGCTTAATTTCATCATTTTTTTACTATGGACTATGGTATCAACTGTAGTGCAGGAAATTCAAAGGCTGCCATTATATTACATTCCCACAATTTTTGGTCTAAATTCCTTATCGGCAGAAGCAAAATAGCCACATTTGCTCTTGTATTTCTTGTATTTGCTCTTGTATTGCTTTTGTTTATTACTTTGTCTTTCACTGAATCTTTTGAGGACTTCCCTGAAAAGAATATGCAATGACTTTTCAGGACCTTACGATAGGTGGGCGTACTGTTTACATTTCCAAAAAACAACTTTAGAGCCATAAACGATTGGACTTACAGATTTTTCACAAACTATCCAATAGTGTTTGAGTGTTTAGACAACAGATGAGCGGCAAATTTTGAATTTAAAACAGGGTTTGTGCAGGTCAGGTCCTTGAACTCCTTGAAAAGTGCTGGAATTTAAAATGCATTTTCAAGGGYACTTGAAACTCCTYGAAAATAGAAAAAAAGTAGAAATGTCCTTGAATACTCCTTGAAAAAATTATCCATGAAAAAATGTCAGTAATACTTTCAAGATACGTAAACCGTGAGTAGTCGTCATTGTTTAAAATTAGAGATTTTCACTACATCTTGGGAGAARTGTCTTTTTTTATTATTTTTTGCTTTCCAGAACTTAGTGTCCCAAATGAATTGCAATGTGGCATGGATATCACATGACAAATTGGCACATCTTGATTAGCATTGGCATTTTTTTCTTCATATTTTTTTAATACCAAAATAAAACCCTCTTAAGCTAAGAGTTACTCCTTGAAAAATGTCATTTTGGTCCTTGAATAATTCTTGGGAACCTAGCATGAACACTGTTAAATATTCTTCCGTTGTTCTGGTTGGTAAAACTAAATGATGAAGAAGAGCTTGTAATATATTTTCTTCGCAATTTAGTGATTCGTGTCACCAAAGATATAGAAAAATAGTAATGTACGACTTTGGTTGGAGTACGTAGTCGCACTGTAAGAAATATAAAGAAGTCATATTTGTTGATAATATTAATATCAAATTGGAAAGCAGTTGCTTCATTAGTTCAGGACATATAATAAATTAAAGTTGCTAAATTTTTCAGTAAATGTAGGTTGGTGTGAAAAATCTTGCCAACCAACATACATTTGCTGTCAAATTTCACAACGTTAACTTGAAAACCATCAAGAGATTTGTCCTCAAATTCTCAGATATCTTCCAAAGCAATAGGATCTTGCCACTTTTGATGCTTATTTGTTTATTGCTTGAATTTCCAAGAATTTCTTTTATATTGATCAAAACAAATGAGGCCATCATACACCCACCTATTTGGAAAATTTGCGAGTATTATTTATTTGTCAAGTTGCCACTTGGTCTCTTATAGGAGCAGAACAGTTTGTCTCATTGCATACTTCATTAATACCATTAACAAATTTTGTTTTTTCTAGGAGGAGTTGTCAAATGAAAATAAGGAAGATGGTGAGTTCCTTTTTTTTCCTATTTTGTAATGTATTTACTGGGCTGGTAAAAATATATTTTTAGGATTGTAATGTCAATGTCAATGAATTTCCTTCAATGTGCCTGATTTGAAAATGAATTAGCATAAAAATTAAGGTGCTACTACTTCTTTTCTTAAATTCAATGCATTAGACATAGCAAATCTATATTTTTCTTCGAGGTAATTGATAAGAAATTACACATTTTGAAGAATGATATTTCCTCCATCTATGGAGTATATGCAGAAATCCTTTAGAATCCTTTTAAGAGGACAGTRCCTACTAATTGAGAATGAATTAGTATATGTAATAGGACTCCATCCTGTCCAATTAAGAAATAATTAAACGAGGAAAATTCCGAGGATTTCCAAAATTTGATGAGGCTGTAGGCCAAGTCCAATTTGGCAGTCAGAGGAATGTTTTGAGTCTAATTATTTCTTGATTGGGGAGCATGCAATCCCATTACCTATTAGTTATATAGCTGCCCAATTAATCCCATATCAACAAGACCTGTCCAGTAAATAATGGTAATTGAACTTCGTGTCATGCAATTTTGATTTGAAATTAAAAGCGTGATAACGCGGTCGTGCGATTTTGTAATTGCACATTTGATTTCAGACCAAAATTGCATGACACGAAGTTCAATTACCATATTATTATATCCATTTTAAAATATTTTTTGAAAAAGACGTTTTTTCCAATTAAACCGACATGACTTACAATCTATAAGCATTCAATTCAAACATGCTGTCAAGAGAACTTTTTTATACTGGTTGAGCAATGATTCTCATTTTAAAAACCAACACTTTCAATCCAAAACTAAAATGAATTTATATAGGACCAAAAGTCATTACATGTATTAAGAATCATTTACTTACATTAAATAGCAAGACAATCCGACCAAAAGGGTTGTAATGAACTAGCTGTTGTSCATACAGCCAATGCTCACTGCTTGTATTAAAATACAATTTCTGTTCAACATGTTAAGATCACACTTGTGCCGAGAAAACAGCAAAAATCAAAGGTTGTTTAGTCCTTTGGTTGTCCTTAAGAAGTCACATAGCCCAGCAAAAATCTTCTTTTAATGACTGTATTTTTAATGTGTTTTATGCTTTAAAGATTGAAAAGGAAACCTTTTTCCACGATCAATCGCCCAGAAGTCACATTTGAAAGATGCATTTTTCCCCACTACTTTTCGCTGTAAAATCTTCAACTTACTGAAGGTGGCTGCTTACTTTTTGAACGTTCGAATTGAGCCCACGATGAGCGCGCACTCAAAAACCACCAAAAAATCTACAAGATTACATTGAAGAACCATACGCATTTTGAGCTTCAACAGGGCAAAACCCTCAAATTTTGCACAGGACTATTTTTTTATAGATTATTYGAAAAAACTCCTAAAAATCTAGGTTATATCAACATTTTAGAAAAAGTTTAAATCAGTACACATGAAAAATTCGATTTTTGTAGAGATTTTTTTCTACTACAAAATGTAACAAATCAATGTATCTCTTTGTCTTTTTGTCAAAAATATCCATGTATTATTGTAAAATGATTAACTAGCCTTCATTTGTGCAATCATGTAGTATGCAAATAACTATTATCTCATGAATCTTAATTTTTGTCTAATCACTTCCGGTGGCACAATTTTTACTCCAAAAGCTCGTGCGTAGGCTTCCATTAAATGCTGATTATCTCGAAAACGAGCTCGAGACACCCTATTTTTCTTTCCAGATTTGGAATCAGCATTAAATTTCAATTCGGAAAATCAAAGTTTTAAGAAAAGTTTAAATCAATTTCCAAAAGTAGGCAGTCACCTTAAGCAGTTACTTTACGAAAATGCTTTTGACAATTTTAAGTGCTCAGTTGGTCTTCTTAAGTCCTTTTTACGGCTTTTTAGAAAAAATGATTTTTAAGAAAATAATTGGACAGTTACCTATATTGGATTGTGAGAAGCTGTATAATTACTTTTTTAAATGACAATGTGAATCGTTTTAACCTATCAAAGGGTTTTTTAATTCTGGTTAGAAAAGTAGGGGTCACCATGCATTTAAAAGAAATAATAAGGCTTAAAATTTTATTCATTATTTTTTGAACACAAAAAGGTTTCTAATTTAAATTGTCCTAAATGACTGRCACTTGACCTTACCTTGTTTGAAACCAGTGAATATTTTAATTTAAAAAATTTAATGCATAGAGCTTTGTTTTGATGTGTTGAGAAGGTGATGTCACAGCAGACTCTGTTAAAATTATCAAAAATATAATARTTTAGAATATCAGAAAAACTTTAACCACTGACCTTTAATTCAAGTCAAGTTCAATTTTGTTTTATTTATTCTTATTTTTAATTTCAAAGAGGTTTACACCTCTAGGGGAAATTTTCATCTTCCCACAGTTATTTACAGAGGACTAACAGAATGCAGAAAAAAAGTATAAATTGTTTGGAAGGGGGATTTAAACAAAATTAAAAAAGAAAATTTTATACTTTTCATTTTTTTATGATTATTTATAGGAGATGGACATTTGAATGCCTGTTCGCGCAAGGAACAGTAGCGTAGCGAGGGGCGGCACGGGGGGACACGTGCCCCCCAAAATTTTTGAAAACAAAAAATTTTGAAAAAAGAATAACAACAAAAAAAACATATTAAACTGAAACGAAAGAGGAAAATAAAATATTACAACCTACGAAAGTGCGAATTTATACGAAGTTATCCGGACGGGCTACCTGTGCACTGCGAACCCGGTCAGAGCCTGGAATCTGCACGTGGGAATTTGAATTTTTWTATTATTTTGGATCAGTGCCCCCCCAGCTCCTAGGTCCTTGCTACGCCCCTGGCAAGGAATATGAATTCCTTGCAGCTGTCATTCTCCATTTCACTCCTACATATTCTTCTTTCCCAAAAGAAGATGTAGATGAAGAGAAAAGCAAGGAATTAAAACTCTTTTACAAAAAATAAGAGGAAATTCTTCAACCAAAAATGTACAAAAAGGCCGTTATACACCCTTAAGGTCGATGGGAATACAGTTGATCATGACAAAAATGGTGTTCCAATTGTCATGATCAATATGTATGTGAAGCAGCAGCTGTCAGGATACAAGCAACTTCTTTACAGGGAAGCAGTGGAAGATGTCCTGCTTGATCTCCATGTGATCCCTGTTACTAGAGGGAAAACCACTTGCCTTCCAGGAGGCATTAATGGGCTTAGCGAGCTGTTTAATTCTAAGTACCATTTTAAAGGAAGTTTTAACATCATTAAGTCCTTTTTATCTWGTTGTTTCAATTGTCGGGTAAATACACCATTACCGAGTACCAGTAAGCCTCCTCCAATCCCTATCCGTACTTTTAAACCACATGATCGTTTGCAGTGTGACTTGATTGACATGGCACCAAAAAAGTACAGGAATTTCACGGCAAAAAATAAGTGGGGATACCGGTACATCCTAACCGTTAAATTCTGTTTTTTCTAAATTCTGTTGGTTGTTTCCTCTGAAAAACAAGTCAGCATCAGAAATATTCAACATCTTGCGCCTTCTTTTCATCAAGGAAGGAGCCCCTAAAATCCTGCAATCAGACAATGGTAGTGAGTTTATAGCAGGGGTCATAAAGAAGCTTGGGCAAGAACTCAAAATTCGCCTCGTTCATGGGAGACCGTACCATTCCCAATCTCTAGGTCAAGTTGAAACCTAAACAAGCAGGTGAAAAGATGTCTGGCAAGGTTTTTGCAAAAAGTCAACAGAGACCAACAGGCCAACCTGTGGCCCATCTTGCTATCTGGTACTTCTGATTTTCTTAACACAAAGTGGCACAGCACCATCAATGACATTCCTTTCCGCATATACAGAAATAGAGATTCCCCAAGCAAACCAGCCACATAGTCCCTGATGATGAGTTCTTGGTGTCATCTTTAGAGGAGCCTTGTCTTAGTGATTTTGAGTTTGACAAGGAAGATCTGCCAGAATTTGATTCTTCTTGTCCTGATGACAGTCTTTTACAGGATGTATTACCTGAAGTAACTGACATCATTTTGGCTTCATCCTTTGGTACCATCCCTGATGTTTTTGTCAAACTTCTGCACAGTGTGGTAAATCCTGATGATAGTTCTTCCTCAGAACACAAAGATGAAAATATTTGGAGTGTTTTGAAACCAGTGACATCAGCCAGTTCCTTGGATATAACAGCACTGAATACAAGGCTTTAACACGTGATGTCCTGGAATCAACTGAATATACCATCCAGAGGAACATAAAAAGATCAAGATGTGCCTCTTCATTCAATGTTGGTGACAAAGTGGTGTACCAAGTACAAGATGTAGAAAAGAAGCATTTTAGAAGGAAAGATCCTTTTAAAACGTTAAATGAAATCGGTGTGGTGGAGGAGGTTCTTCCCGGTGGAATGTACAAAGTGTCTGGAGAGGAAAATGATGGGTCAATGTTTGTAAAATGTGTATTTGGTGGTCAGATGCTAAAGGTATCCCCGAAAGTAAGGGATAAAAGTCAGATAGATGTACCATCTTCAAATCTGTCAAAGTTTTCTTTACTGAGTCTGCATGATTCTATTTCAAAATTTGCTYCTACCGTAAGAGGGGAAATGTATGATTGCAATTTAAGAAGAAGAAGTCAAGCCAAGAAGTCCTCTCTAAACATTGACGACTTATTCCAAAAATACAATTCTGTATTGGATTTTGGATTTCTTGCCATGCTTTCTTCAATCAAAAATAATACAGATAGCACATCACATTTCCAAAACCTTTACACAAGTGGGATGAAGGAGCTGCAGAAGGCTGGGTTTCCTTACTTTCTTTATGGAACAATCCATTGGGAACATGAAAGAAAAAAGAAGCYTGGTGACCAGATTACAGGTCATTTGTCTACCATGTGCTGTGCCTCTAGCTRTTTGAATTGCTTGAAAAATGACATGGAGAAGCCTTGTAATCATTCCTGCTGTCAAGAAGCCGTTCTACAGCTTGCGTTGAAATCTGGGTTGATAACTAAATTAAAGATGACAATGATGTACTTTCTTTGTCTCTTACTGTCAAAAAACCGGCTGATAACCTTGCTAAGTCAACTGGGTCTGCTGTCAAGCCTGCAATCAATGTGCATATAATTCCAGCTTCAAATGGAACTGAGTCTGCTTTCAAGCCTGCAATCAATGTGCCTATAATTCCAGCATCTACAGCAACTGTGCCTGTTGAAAACTCTCATAATACCATGAACCAACCTCCATTGAAGTCATCTGGGCTTCTTTCAACATCTTCAGTAACTGGGCCTGCGGTCACAAAGAAAACTGAGCCATATAGCCAGAATCAGATAGAGAAATATGAAGAATTGAAGAAACAATGTTTGGGGAAGATTGTTGCACAACAAGAGTTCCTTGAATTTTCAGAGTCACTGAAYATTGCATTTTCTGATTGTTTTTCGCAAGATGAAACTGTGCTCCAAAACCTTAAGTATTTGGAAAAAGTAGTTGGTAATCATGGAGCAATYGATGTTCAAGAACAAGTAAAGATTAAAATTTCCAATGATAAAAGCAGGGATAAAAATAAGCTTTCTTTTCTCATAGCTTTCGATTTGTTTGTTGTAACACAACACCGAGAGTCCGTTCGCTACGTTACTACGAAGCTAAAAAAACTCTAAAAAAAACCACTAGATTGCCTGTTTCGTAACTAAAACTCTTCCTTGACATAAACGCTTTTATTTTGAAGTCAAACTTTTAGTCATCGAGCAAAAGCAGGGATAAAAATAAGCCTTCGTTTCTCATAGCTTTCGATTTGTTCGTTGTCACACAACGCCGAGAGTCCAATCGCTACTTTGCTACGAAGCAAGGCAAAATAACTCCCGGGCCGGGAAATAACTCTGAAAAATTCGACTACATTTCTTCTTTGTAACTAAAACTTTTTATTTGTCAGAAAAGTTCTTCATTGAATGCAAAATTCTATTAGTCGTCGTTAACTCGCATRTAAATGAGATGTAAATATCCTCTCTTCRCTAGGTTTAGATTTCTCTATCGACATCTGAGCAGAAAATTTATAAGTTTCGATGCYGTAAGACACGTTATAAATTTATCGATATAGACTCAAAATTAATATATGTTTAATATATATTCCTAATATTGTGATATTTAACATTTTGAGATAAGGTAGCGAATCGACTTCTATTAGTAGCGAATCGACTTCTATTAAGTAGTGAATCGACCTTTTAGGTAAGTAGYGAAAGTGCAAGGTAGAGAAAAGACCAGTTACCCTTTTTGTGGCCTATGTGCCTTAAACAATGCTTTGTGTTTGCCGCCAGGAAGTCTACCAGTATTCAGCATACATGACCTTGACCTTGCTGCTGACATCATGTGGCTAAAGCAAGTGACTGTTGCTCCAACCTTTTCAATACTTCTTGAGCCAACACACTGTTTGGATGGGGACAACAGCATCATGGCCATGGAACAAGCAGCTTCAATGAAAAATATGACTTTTCGAAGGTTGGATGCTGCTGTGTGAGCTCTTACAGATGGAGTTAACATTGCTGGTTTAAACAGTACAGATTTTGGAGAGTTATATAAGCTCTTTATACACACATTTGATGACTGTGACAAACCTTCCTTGATAATGCAGATGAAGCAGCATCATTTTGTGACRTTTATTTTCAATGGAGATAAGGTTATACTCCTTAATAGCCGTCGAAATGCACCCATCCAGTTGTCACCTCTAAAGGGGATGCTTTTTCTTCAGAGAGAAAGTCAGAATAACACACTGTTTGCTGCTGTCAATATCGAAAAAGCTGGAACCAAGTGCAATCCAGTTGTAACCAATGAATTACCTTGTACCCCAACAGCAAAAGACTTCCAAAGTAGTCTTCAAGAAATTTGGAGAGATGACAGCATTTGTGATGACACCATTATCTCGGATAGACACGGGAATATCACAGCAAAAGATATTAGATCTTTAAAAACAGGCTGCTTGGTAAATGATGAGGTCTTCAACTACATAGGCAATTTCTTGATGTCTGAAAGGCAAGGTTTGTTTGTGGCCAGTACATTTTGGATGTCAGGTCAAAATCAAGGAGTGTTAAAGAAGCTTCAGGATTGCAACCTTCATCACATCAGGAAGTTCATATTTCCTATACATTGCCCTGGGCACTGGTGGTGTGTCATGATTGACACTGCTACAAAGATGTATGGGGAGTATGATTCTTTATGCAGAGACAGAAACAGCCCTTATGTATTTCAATTGCTGAGCACCATGTTCTCTGAAGTAGGAATACACTTGAAGTCCTTTAGAAAACTTACTACAGATGAGAGGAGCCAGATTCCATCTCAAGGCTTGAACTGTACAGATTGTGGGGTGTACCTTCTTTGCTTTATGTCTTGTTTTGCTTCAGGTAAATATACCAAAGATAAGAGAATGAGACATTTTGAGCATTAATTCTTTTATAAATATTTATCACATATCTTTAACAACAACAAATATTTAAGAATTATTATTCGCTGAAGGTGAAGTGATATTTGGTCCAATATTCACTGATCCTGAGGGGAATGATAATAATTATTGTTTTAGTATGATTTTAGACATGAATATTAGAGTATTTAAAGTGGAAATTCAGGGTAAAGCAGTGATTATTATCTCAGAATAATTGACAAAATCACAGCTCAAGAAACTCAAGCCTAAGACTATACTAAAAATAAATATTGTTAGCATGTTTCTACCCTATATGAGATTTATTTCATAGTGTTTTGTTTTACATTTAAATTGAAAGAGCTGGCATAATGATGATAATGATTGCTATTGATTGTTGCAGGTGTTCCCATACATTTCAAGGTTCCCTGCATGACATCAATTAGGGAAGCATTTGGCCAGATCATATTGAATGGCAGGCCATCTTTACATCAAATTCCAGTCTCTGCGGTATCTGAGAACATCACAAGTGCCACAAYCACATGTACAGTAACCTGTAACACCAATGCTTCTCTTAGAAGCATAGAAGATTCTTGCCATGATATAGATGAGACAGATGAAGATGTCATTTTCAAAGTTGATCAATTACTGTAACCCTTTTCTCCGGACATTTCAACTTCACATGAAACAGGTACATATATTTCTCAAAAATGCAGGTGTATTATGATGGTGGAATTATATTCTGGCAACACTTTATCTTCAGCTATTTAAGATCCCRAGTGTTAGTCAAGCCACAAAAGCTTGAACCTTAAAAGTCCCCCCCAGCATGCCAGTCCGATGCTCAACCGAGGCAACTGCGTAGCAGTTTGAAAAATTGTTAGATTTCTGTGGTGTTCTTATCCTTTTCCCTTATTGTCATAACTGTCTAGGTCTCTTACAAAACTGTTGAGAAAGCTACAAAAATTCCCTGAGAATGAGAACTTGCTATTGTTAAAGTGCTACTACGACGAAAATC